TAACTGTGTATAAAAGTGAGGGTGCAAACATTTCCCCAGCACCCCTAAGAAAAGCTTTTGTATCTCGTTAAGTTCAAAAGCACAAATGATGCGACTTTCCGCACAAATCAGCACAAACGATGCACAAATAAAGGCTCTTGGTTTCGTTCAAATATTCAATAGTGGGGGTGCCAGAGAAATGGACCTCATAATTTGTACCAATTTGTACCACTAATTTCAGAATTTTTATTTGCAGCCTTTAGTGCAAGTGCGCATACACTTAATAGTTGTCGGTAAAACTGCAGTACACTGCAGTAAAATAATAAAAACAGTACTATGAATATTGGATATTGAATATTATTATAAATTATAATAATATACTGTACCATTATAATTTATAATATTATTATGTATTATGATCATTGATTCTTGTTATCTGTGTGAGCGATTATTGTTAGGTTGGAACGTTAAGTTTACACTCAACTGTTTGTCAGTTTTGTTATTATTATTTATTTTGTCTTTCGATAATCAACGTGACCACAGAAAAATATACTGTCTTGTCAACACAATTAATGATAAAAATTATGACCTTCCCTAGTCTAAAAGATATATTTTAAATTTTCTGTTTCTCTTCGTGGTTTTTACATATCTAAATATTTATTAATTTATTAAATTTAATGAACATCAAATATGAAACGTGTTTTTATATGTCAGGTTATGAAAAAATGAATAAGAAAAATAAACAATTGCTGTTAGAAGTCGGTTCTTCATCAAATCAAACAATTTTTATATTCTGAGCGGAGCGATGAATGTATTAATTTAATTTTACAATATTATGTGTGTTTTTTTTTATTTTACTTCTCTTGTGTCTGTCATCACCTTTTGAAACAGTAAAAATGCTTCAATCTTCTTTAACAGCATCTTTTCTGGTAGGAAAGTGAATCTAATTGGTACTTTGGGGTAGGGAGGGGGGTCCAAAATATATAATTCCCAATTTTTTTCAAAAACCGTAGGAATTTAAAATTTTCATCAAATGTTTATTTTATAATATTCTATACGGATAAACTTTTCAAAATATTTTGACTTATTTAGAGTTATTTATAGACATTTTCAATTTTCAATTTTTTTAGTATTTCATTCTAAAAAGCTTGAAAATGTAATATATAAGGTTCCATATAATTATTAATTTGTTATAATAGCAGTTGATAAATATTAAAGATTTTATAAGTACCTATTTTGAGTTAAAATGTTGACAAAATATATCAAAATTTCAACAATTATTATCAATTATTGTAATTAAAAAAAGTTAAATTTACCTAATTAAGGGTTGAACATTTAAAACAGAGATTCTCATAAATATTTCATACTGCAACCAATAAATATTTAAGCAATTTATAAATACAGTTATTTTGTACAGATATTTTAAATTTAAATTTGGACAAAATTATATATTAAAACCAAAAATAACGATTTAAGTTATTTTGTTGTAGTTTAAAAATATTATTCAGTTATATGAAACTTTTAGAGTATATTATTATGTTTTTTATTCACGCAATAACATTTCAAATGTAATTTTTTTGGCAAACATGAATTTAACTGGTGTACTGTTGTACAAATGCCTAATAGTAAAATAAATTACTTTAATCACAATAATATCATCAAAATAATATACTTAGTAATATTATAGGATGACAGACCGTCTTCGCCCTCTTCGTATTCAAGGTTATATACTTATATATATGGGGTTTGGCAAGTTACTCAATTTATTGTAACTGGTTATAAGTTACTAGATACTTTTATGTTGAACTAAGTTATGTTGTAACTAAGTTACATTTAAAATTAAAATTTAGGTACAGTGGTAAATAGCTTGGGGCTAGGTAAAATCACGTTATGGTTGTTATGTTAGAAAAATAAATATGTACTAACTATATAATCGTACAACCATTGAATATCCAGTGGCCAGATTAATTGTGAAAACCAAAATAAACGAATATAAAAAAAAAATCTTGACCATGTATTTTTAAAATTGTATTGTAACAGCGTGTGAGGATCCTTCAACATTGTATTAAATTTTCAAGCATTTTGACCAAACGAATAAAATTTATTTTACATTTATAAAAAAAAACTAAACAAATTGAAAATTAAAAATGTTCATAAACAGCTCTAAAAGAGTATTATATATCAAGTATAAAATTAATGATAAAATAAACCTATAGTGTAAATTTCAAGTATCTACGGTTATTATAGTTATTGAAAAACAACAAAATAAGAAACCCGTTGTGTGGGAATTTGGTTCATTTACCGGAAAATATCCGATATCTAACTTCAAACGCTTGTAAAAACTTAATTTGACTTTCCACTGGACATTTTTTTTTTATAAAAGTAGAAAACTTATGAGGAATCTTGTGTTAAACGTTTTTTTGCTTTGCAGACCCACTTATGAATTATCAAAGCACTAAAAGCACAATGTAACTCTTAATTGTAACTTGTATCTTTTATATAAAGTTACAGAAAATGTGTAACTAAGTTATAAGTTACAAGTTAAATTGTAAATGAGTAACTTGTTATAAGTTACAAGTTACAAAAATATACGAGTTACATGTAACTATGATATGCCCAACTCTGCAAATATACAATGTTTTTATATCATTGAAATATTGAATTCAAAATTAACACCAATGGTGTTACACCATCCATTGCAGTGACCCATTTGTAACCTACTGTACAGCAGAGCTACTTAAACTTACCCGCTTTTTAGAATAATAAATCATTAGGTACTCTAGTTTGTAGTTAACTATTTTTTGTGTACCAATTGTCCTATTATAAGGTTCCTTAAAAATGTTTTAATATTTTGCACTACTTATTAGCACTATTTTATAATTTTATGGAATAAAATGTTTGGGAGCCCTTCTGAACAAATGCATCCAGGGCTCTTTAAGTAGGTACCAGGCCGACACTGTATAATATTATAATGCAATAATAAATAAATGTATTCTAGTTAGAAAAAAGAGGTGTACGCATACAACAAGAATACCTATTATTAAATGATTAGGTATTATTGATATTTATTTTTAGATTCTGAGTGGATCAGTGGAACGATGAATGTATTGATTTTACGATGATGAATGTTTTTTTTTTTTTGTGTGTCTGTCATCACGGTTTGGGGCAGTAAATCTGCTTAGATTTTCTTCAACAGTATCTTGTTCGATGGGAAAGTTGGTGCATTCAGAAGGTCAAATTTTGAAATTCCCAATAGTTCTCACAAGCGCCGGGAAAAAAACTTAAAAATTAAGGAAAGAAGGAAATTTTTTCTTAAAATCGGTTTTCCACAAAATCGATTTTGGTGTTTGGTGTAACTTTAAAACAAATGACCGTAGATACCTGAAATTTTCACTGGTTGTTTATATTTACATTTTTCTATACAAAATAACATTTCAAACTATTTTGTTTTATTTTGAACTGTTTAGGGACATTTTCATTTTCCATTTTTTTTTAGTTTTTTTCTAAAAATATCAATAACATTTTATTTGTTGGTTAAAAAAGCTTGAAAATTTAATAGAAGGCTCCTAGTATATTGGTTCAAAGGCAGATGAAAAAAATTAAAAATCCAAAGTCACAACTTTTTTTATATAAGCATTTAAAGTTCAAATATTGACAAAATACGGAAAAAACACGAAATCTTGCAAATTATTTTGAGTTAGAAATTCATAAGAAATTTTCTGTTTAAATCTAAGATTTTAAAATGTAATACAAGATTCTTCATAAGTTTTTCTCCCTTTATCGAAAATAATGTCTAGAAGAAAGTCAAATTAAATATTTATGAGTGTTTGAAATTCAAATTTTTACGACAATGGATATTCACTCGATTTCTCATGTAGCGATTTTCTTATTTTGTTGTAATTCAAAAACGAATAACTGAAGATACATGGAAATTTCACTGAATGTTTATATTAGCATTTCCTATACACCTTACAATTTTGAAAATATTTTGACTCTTTTTGAGCTGTTCACGGACATTTTCAGTTTTCATTTTTTTTAGTTTTTTTTTTCTATAAATATCAATAAAGTTTAATCTGTTGGGCCAAAAAGAGGAAAAATTTAATACAAGGCTCCTGATATATTGTTACAATATCAGTTGAAAAATATTAAAAATACATTTATTATAGGTACCTATTATAGGTCAATTTTTTTTTAATACCATAGATAATTATATAATGTGGCTTATACCTAGACTGACATACCGTCTCCTCTCAGAATCGTTTTTCTTATACAATGATATATCATTGAATTCAAATTTAATACCAGCCATTATACAGTAGCCCACTTGTAACCTACTGTACAGCAGAGTACCTTTTTTTTATTGTATATTTAAACATATTATAATATATATTTTTTTTGTCAATATAAAACAATTTAAATACTTTATCACAATATTAATTAAAGCAATCACTATAATTACCAAAAAGAAATGTATTAAAAAATTAAATCAAACAAATTTTATTTAAATTTTTCATTTAATTTTCAAAATCTTATATAATGTTATGCAATGTCCAGACATTAAGTATACACGTCCGGAAACGCCTTATTTTGAGCGTTATAATTATTATTATTTTATTTCATTGCTAATAATTTATAAATGATTGCGTTCTTTTTAAGTGCAAACTGCTGCTCTGTTCATTCCACATGGTCAAGGTCCAAGGTCACTGTCACTTCGACTCACCAGTCATCATATAGGTGCATACAACTAAATGCACTCTCCAGTATCCACCCAGCTTATGTATAATAATAATATAATATATGCGTGATCTGGATTTTGTATTTTCGGATGGACAACGCCCTAGCTGTACGTATCGGTAAAGCGCCGGAACACCCACCCCATGTAAGTTAGTTAGGTACTGACTGACGACTGTATATATAAGGACCACGGTACCCGGCATTGGCATCACACTACATCAAGTATACACATCGACCAGGTTGAAGTTTGCAGATTCGTTGTAGAAGAAAAAATCACCAAACACGAAATGGCTTTTTTCAAGATTCTGGTGAGTGACTTTAATATACGATATCGCAGCACAGGTCTCATGGCATCATCAATTTTTAATTGCTTATGACCGATAAATTATTATTTTTATGTAGCTATACCTACAAACACTATGTACCTACAAAGTACAAATAAATGGGTTTCAATCGATTCTTACAATCTTATGAATACAAATTCACACATCAAATACTCAAATATACGCCAATGTATAAACTTTATCGAAAAATGCTTGATTCTTAAAAGACTAACAGCAATAGTATTATATACCTATACAATATATTGTAATATAATTTTCCTTAATAATATAATTGCCAACACTTCTATCGAGCACCCCAGAGCTCAGCTGTATAAACAACGAGACGGAGGCCTTTAAATACAATTATGATACATTTTGTTTGATATTATATATTTATACCACCGTCATTCAATGTTGTCCGAACATAGGTTTGAATGTTAGTCATTACGCAACTTAAAATTTCAATTGAAGTCCAAGAGTGTTTACTATAATATATTATAATATTCGGTACCTATTATAAATTATAATATTATAACTTTACGTTGTGACTGCTCATTTATTATATGATTAAAAAAAATATATAGTACAATATATTATTATAGTCACCAAAATGTCGAACAACCGTCTAGAAATTCTCAAAATGTATTTACACGACTTGAATCAACTAGCTTAGTATTACCGCCCCTATAATGGAAAATATCAATATTTATACGTGTGCTACTGCCTACCATATGTAATATAATATGAAAGTTATAACTTCCATGTACGTTTAAAACTTGTATATGCGACAAAAACTTTCAAGCCGTGCACTGTTATAATTTACCTTTAATGTTATCTATTGACCATATTCTACTGTCGTATTGCATTGTATACGCATTGTACCTATTGTTCTGTGCTTATACAGATTGTACATTTTCAATTTAATAGAAAAAAAATGTACTAAAAATAAAATAAAAAATTACACAACTCATATTATTACATTATGATTTGTACCCACTGTACTCATGGGTTATGACATCAAATATGAATTATAATTTATAATATGCAATTATATTATTAGGTACTATTATTGTTACTATTTACAGATATTCATCACCTTGGCCGTGTACTCCGTTGTCGCCGAAGAAGGAGTAAGAGCAAAGAAACATGCCTACCTCGCTGCTGCCCCAGCTCGTGAGTACCTACCAATAATATAAATTAGACGACTATATGATAACGACATTTTAGCCTTTAAATATGGAAATACCTATATGAAATTCACCTAATTCAAATGATTTAAACCGAGAGACGTTAATCGATATTTTTTTATTCATTACAGCGGTTTTGGGTTATTCTGCCTCAGCCCCCGGTTCGTTCTCATATGCATACTCTGATTACACCAACTATCCGTACAATTATCCAGTAGTAGGAGCTTCAGCATACCACGCACCCGCCGCATACCCGGTAACAGCGTACACAGCGTCAGCTTATGCCGCCCACGCATACCCTGCAATCTACCACGAAGATGATGGAAAATACTGGCCCGGCAAATACGAAAAGGCCTACATCCCAGCTTACAAAGCCGGATACCCAAGCTATCCCGAAGATGACGGCCAATACTGGCCTGGAAAGTACGAAAAATCCTACATCCCAGCTTACAAAGCCGGACTCCACTACTGAACACCCTCGCAACAATGATTCTCAACCTAGAGCTTCCGCGGAAAAAATACCGTAGTCTTTAAATTATATTTTTAACAATAAAAACGTGATCTTTTTTTTTCATTAATGGATTTTGTTGTTATATTTTCTCTTTCTCTCCAGGTTGTGACACACAATATAATAATAGATATTATAATATTATTAATGAGCCTATTACGGTTTATATTAATTATATGCACAGTACACTTAGTACACTAAGGTAGCCTTAGCCACTTAGCCACTTCTACAAAATATCTCAAATAATATCCTAACAACGATCTATAATAGACCATACAAGTACTGTATATTAAAACATTATATAGGCTTAATATATTTTTCCATAAATGGTAATACAATATTATACTTATAATAGACCGGAGGGCTTTAAAGTATACTTTTTTTTTTTATTGAACAAAAATTTATATTTACATCTAGTGCAATAAGTAAATGTGATGTGGTTTGATTAGCGGGAGGGGGAAGTCACTCAATGGTGGCACCTCGTAAGTATACTTAAAAAAATATTAGTTGACTGAACAGTCCCCCCTTAGAGTTATATCTATTGATGCGCCACAATGTATACATACTACATTGAATCACCAAAAAAAAATCGTAAATCCGAATACTCGAACAATGTTGAAAGTAAATGTTAGTCGTATAGTGTATCGTATCTCATAACTTTAGTTAATAATTTCAATGCCCCATCTATTAAGAAATTAAATAAACAAAAAGATAAAATGGTTAATTTGATAATTTTGATGGTAATTTATTATACATAAGTGTATATATTTTGTATCTTGAATGTTTATATTAAATATTGAAAATGTACAGATATAGCTTGTAGTGCCGTACCTAGTAGTAATAATAATGACAATGACAATTTATATTATGATTTGTTTGCCTATTTCGGACAACACAACAATGACCAATGCCCAATGAGTATAAGTAGTATAACCAGTGTTGGATAGGTCCACCAGGAATTCGAGATATTACCCGTAGGCCCTATCCTGTTTTGATGTATGGGGGCCCTAGGACCATTTATCAAGTACCTACTGAACCTTGTGTGATGAAGATTGAAAATATTTTTAATAAAGATGCAAATTGACTAATTTTATATTTTCAACCACTCTACAAGAAAAATACCATAATCATTATTAGATATAAACAATATTTATTTTTGTTCCCAGTATCGGAAGTATCATTATTCATTGGGAATATTGAGATTTATTTTCAGATTAGAGTTATAGAAAACCGTATTTAATAACGGTAGATTATATCTGTACTATATAATGTACCAATGCAGTAGTCATACTCTTATAGTTTTTAAAATTTATTTTTTCAAAATGTATGGTTATTAACGCTGATTTCGAAACTGTTAGCATTTTTTTGAGGAAACCGTTATTTTGGAAGTTATATTCATTTAAAGTTTGATATTTTAAGTTTATACGCATGTGCGCATGTGCGCAACAGTACTTTGATAGAAACTTGTGTTTGGTGTTTTTTCGATTTTTTGTCCGAGCGATATTCAATTCTAAGTATTTTGGGCGTTAGACGAAAAAATTGTAGTTTTTGAGATTTTTCATCAATAACTTCAAAAAGAAGTTTGCGCGGGCTTTTTTTTTATATTCTTATAAAGCAACCTAAGACACACATTTTGGAAAAAAAATTTGAAAAAATCGAAAAGATGCTAAACCAGAATAGTTGCCAAATCTGTACTAAGAGTACCTATATTACTTATTTTATAGTTTAATATTGTATTGTTATATCAAAATAAAAATTCTAATTTTTTGGGGGCTCTTATTCAAATTATTTCCCTGTAAAAAAATATAAGCCTATCCGCCACTGAGTATAAGTGATAATAGTGAGCACTCACTATTGAACAAAATATGGCATAAAAACACAGTTCCTAATTCCAGTAATAAGGTTTATTGAAGCGTTTTACAGTATAAATATCTATTACAAAAATTGTAGAGGAGAATTTTTTTAACAATCTTAAGAAGCCGGATTTTCGATATTTGTATTAACTAGTTAAATAATTAATCGATAAATAGTTAAAAACCGTGTTAATTTACCATGTGATGTTGGGCAATCAGAATACGATATCAAAAATCGGATTCCTTACGATTGTTAAAAAAGTTCTCCTCTACAATTTTTATAATAGGTATTTTTATAGTAAACCGCTTTAATAAGCCGTATTACTTGAAGAACAAAAGTATAGTTTTTATTTGTATAAAATTCGGATACGAATAAAAAATATAAAATCAAACCAAATTAAATAATATTTGTCACAAATCAAGGTTTATTGATTATCATTTATCAATATTTGGCTGCGATAGAAAACCTGTTTTGACAATGGTGCGGTACTGCCGTTAACGCGCGCGGGGTGGTGGTATGAACAGTATGTCAGTATCGAATGCTGCCACTGCTTACGGGCGCAGCACTTGACGAGCGTAATGTTCTGTAGTTTTCTTATAAAAAATACTTTGCTCGTTCCAGTAATACGCGTTACTGAGTGGTTTAATTGTAAGAACCCCTATGAACCAAATTGTAGAGGAGATTTTTATCTGGTTCCGTAAGAAGCCCGATTTTTGATATCTTTAAAACATCACGAAATATATCATGATTAATAATACACTTTTTTTTAATTTTTCAAAAGTTAATTTTAGGACTTAGAAATGAAAATTTCAAAAATCGTGCTTATTACGGAACCAGGTAAAAATCTCCTCTACAGTTTTGTTCATAGGTGATTTTATGATACAGCCACTCAGTAACCCATGTTATTGGAATACGCAAACATGTTTTTAAAGGAAGTTTTCGAGTAATTTTTTTCGGTGACACGTCCCCTTAAATATTAATATTACTCACAAAACTTGAAGAACTATTGTCTATTATTGTAGCTACTACCTAGCTATAAATATTTACTAAATAAAAGTTTCTTATAAATATGTTGTGAGGTTGATGGTTTCCTGTTAATTTAAAAAAATATAATATATAATATTAAAATGACTATTTTTGTATCTTTGGTATAGCTTGGATATTTTGTACGGTATTCTTGTACTACCTAAAAAAAAAAATCGTAAGTCACACTAGTTATCTTAGTTATTTATTAACATATAACTTACCTTCAATACATACTGCTTTTGATTTTAATTTTTTGTAAATTTTGTATTAAAATCTTCCATCAATTTGACACCACGTTCGGCTGAATCATATATAACTCTCAAATGGTGTAAAATATTCTTGGCCTCTATATAACTCGATATTTGACCAATTTTCCGGATTTTGATGTAAGAACTCCATGCTTAGTTGGAACCTTTGGAATATATTTTTCGATTAAGGCGTCAATAATTCAAGTGGTAAGTCTCCTTTTAGAAATTGTGAGACGTCACCAATTTTTAATACATATTTATTTTGTATTTTTGTGGAAATATCCAAGCTATAGCAAAGATACTTGAACAAAAATACCTAGTCATTATATTATAAGTTCTATTATTTGGTGTACATAAATGTTAAATATTATACATAAATACATAATATATTAATATCTGTGAATAAAATATAAATTGCAATTTGTTATAGAGAATAGCTTAATACGTTATAATAGGCAATATTGCTGTTAGTGTTACCGAATGGCATATTTCGGCATAGATAAATCGTTGTTATCTATTCCAATAACTAATAAGTAATTATGTTGTGATAACGGAACTTTAATAACGCTGGGCGACGGGGGGATACAGATGATTTTTTCCGCCACGACTGTCGACCTTCGCGGTTTTCCGCGTCAGCTGTCCACCACCCGCCACCCATCACCCACACAATGAAAATCCCGATCCAACGACAAGCTTTACCTCCAAGTTCCAACTCTCGGGCGGCTACGCTACCTCCCCGCGCTCGTTTGAAATCGTATCGCGCGTGCGCTTCCCCGTGCTCGTACAGTCGTGCCCGTTGCAGTCATCGTCAAATTATTATCATTATTATTATTATTTATTATTCCCTGTACGGCTGTACCCCCTTCGGCCTACGATTTTTTTTTCACAAAACATCTGATACGCACTTTTCTCCTTTGTTTTGAGTGCGTACGGAACGAAAAAAAAATAAAAAAAACATTGCGAGAGGGAAGAGTGATTACACGCACGCACACGCTCGCAGGCCGCGGTCTGCTATCGATTTACCTTGTTGTTCAGTAATATTGTTCTCTATAGTCGAAGCTTTGACGAGGGTCAACGGCGGACGTGGTGTGTCGAACGCGCGGCCGAGACAGTCAAACCAACGACAGGCCGAAATAAACGTCGTAGTTGTTACATAATATTATCATATTATTTTAGGTACACCGTTTGACGTTTTATCAGTCTTCAGGCGCGGCTTAAAAATCGAATGGCTCGACCGCCGAATCGCGTCATTCGTACAGTTACAACTTCACCGATCAGTGCCGGATTTGCAATACGTTAAAAAAATCCCTCGTAAGTGGTGTACATCATACATTCTGTCGATCTTATAATATTTTCATCGTTTTGACAGACACCATCTTCCGTGTTCGTTTCGCCGTCCGGTCATCTACACTCACACTTTGTGTTTGAGCAGGTATCGCAACGCCGCTCCCCCGAATCTGATGTCAACATGAAAAGAGACTTGGCCAAGAAATTGATCGAACGTTATTTCTATCTGATCACAGAAGGTTGTGGCAACGGCGAATGTGTAAATGATTACTGTGCATCCAGCAAAAGGGTAAGTAACACTTGTGCCAGCTTCTTCGCGATAATCATTGTATTTTTTCGTACATACCTAGCCCTTTGTAGGATTAATCCCGTTAAGTAGCTATCCAATTGAAATTTTATTCTCGGCATAACTATAAAACTGGTGTATATACTGTCCTTGAACATCAAACTAAATATCTTGCTGACACAATATTATTGTTTCGCACTGTACCTACCAAGTTAAATGTAAATTCTAGAAGTTATTTATCTTATACATGTCATATGTATGTACACTTATAAACAAATTAATATGTTAATTTGTATTTAAACTATACCTATCGTTTGCTATAGGTATAATAAGTATAAATGCTCTAAAATTTGCTATTTAAGCATGATTTAATTTTACAACTGATTATCTAATGCGTATTACGATTCATTTTATATCTATTATTAATCAAGCTTATCACAATAAAAAAAAAAATTTATTCAAACATAACCTTAGAGAAATATTAAATAGTACATCATTTTTTCGTTAATAACCATATTTTTCTGTTTAGATATGATACATTTTATGTTTATGATAATATATGACATATAGATGCTATGGTTTAATCTATTAGTAGTTTTGAAAAAAAAAACTTGTACCAAGTTTATAATTTATTTTATTTTATGTTTTATCATTGTTAGGCTTACTACACATCACAGTAAGTCAGTTAGTTTGTGAAACACTCATTCGACCAACCTTCTGAATGTATTAGTTCTTCATAGATCATCGGCTAGCTGAATTATCATTAAGTAACTGTTTGGTAAATCTGTATATTTTTAGAATTCTAGTTAGTCTAACATAATTAACTCGACATATTTAATTAATAAATGCATGTACAATATAGTAAGAGAAAATTTTATATTGGTGTTTTACTCAAATTAAGAATGATAATCTTTTAACATCTCAAAAGTTAAATCTAAAAATTATTTATTTAAAATATTAATCTAATCTAACTATACCTAATAGTTTTACTAATATTATGCAATTAATTAATAGGCAAACCGTCACTTTAATTTTATAGTTTTGTATTATGCAATGAATATTTTAGTTGCAACTTGCTAGTACTTATGTATTTAATTTATTATCGTTTGAAATGTTTTTAAATATATATATTTTAATATATATTTTCAATATAGGTACAGAAATACTGTATACAGTATACTTAATATTTTCTGCTATTAGCATAGTCAATATTATGCTATTTAGCAATGTGAGTCTCATAATATGTTATATAGAACCTACTTATAAATAACCTCAAAATAACTAAAACATTTAAACATACCTATCATCAAATCGAGCATCAAACATACATCAATATAAATAACAATTTCAAAAATGTTCACAAACAATTTTAAATAGCCCTTAATTCTATTAAGTCTAAAAAAAAATGTAGTCCTGTCTAATAGGTTTGGAATACATTTTGAATTAATCATATTTTACTTAATTTTTATTTATCTCATATTTTTTTCTCAGTGTACTAATGTGGTGTCAGCTAATGATGCAGCAGCTATTGCTATTCAATTATTTCGCCTAGATGCAAGACTGTGTGATCAGCATCCCATGAAAGTAGCAAGAACCACTAATAACCCATCAGTGTCTGGAAATACTTTACATGATGCCAATACATCATTAGCTTGCTGTAGCAACAACCAAGATAATCTGCGTTTATCACATGATGCTTGTGTGCAAACAAACCATCCATGTACAGTATTTGAAGTAATCCCTGTACATTCAATTGACTTATCTAGATCATTATCAGATGCCCAGATTACTCAAACCACTAGTACTTGTTCTCAAACAAAGGGTGGCAGTAGTTCATCTTCGTTTAAAATAGTCAGTGCCGAACCTATGGCCAAAGAACACAATCAATTCATTGCACCAATTGTTGATTCCATGGCACAACAAGAAGAAGATACATCTGCTCAAGTTTCTAAAGAAGAAGTCAATGAAGATGTGTCGAAAGATGTTGATGATCATGTAAATCCTTGTGAACAAAATGGTGCTACAAATCATTCAACTAACAAGGATATTTTGGATCGCTTGGATGTTGCTTCATTGAGTATACCAGATTGTATTATGAACGATGTAGAAGATATAAACTTAGCCTTTATGGAAACTATGAAAAAAACTTTAAAACATATTGCCTCTTTTCAAAATGGTAATTTTTTATTATTTTAAATAATTTTATAAAATATTAGGTACATGTAATAATATTTTGAAGCTCTTCTTAATAAATTAGGTCAATGTTATTTTTTCTTCAAATTTTGATTCATATTCTTTGTGTGAATTTAAAAAAAAAACATAAATACTACGCAAAAGGTCAACAGACAGTCTTTTAATAGCATAGGCTGGCACAATGTCAGATTAATATTATTATTATTATTAATATATTATAAAATTGTATATTGAATTCATATCATCTATCTATCACTAAATATACTTACATATTAGATTTTGAAAAAACAATAATTAACTAATATTATATATTATTTATTTGTTGGCCATTAGGCAACAATTGTTTCGTACATTAGACAAAGTACACATAATGCGATTTGTTTATAAATATTGAAGGTCCTTTCACCACTTGGCTCTAATCCAATACATGCGTTTCAGTTATATAGCGTGTTATTTTACAAATTTTGGCAACATCCGATATTATATCTTTCTTTGTATATTATGCTTTGTCTTGAATTTAACTTTTATGAAGATAATCCTCCTACCTATTGTTTTATTAGTAATATTATGAATGCCTGTGTGAAATTTAATTCAGTGTATCATGTGTAATGTCTATGCAATAACATGATGTGTATTTTAAATGTTACAAACCAATATTTTTTAATGTTTCCAGGTATTAAATATTTGAACGAAACCAATTTAATCGAACTAACGAGCCATTTAAAAGGACCTGATCCATGTAAAGATAATAATGAGTTGCTATCTGCTCTGTACCAAGTATTTTCAACACCAGAAGCATTGGGTAATAGTTTTATAAAACGATCACCAGAACGCAAAAAAGACTTGCTTAAATTTCATAATCATGCTAAGACTTCATCCCCCAGTATGTCCAAAGAAAAAGTGAGATTTTTAAGCTTCTTAATTTATTTAAATTTAATTATAGTCAAATAATTTGTAACATAATTTTTACTTCCCCAGATACGTGAAATGGAAATTGAAAAAGAATTGGATGATAACTCAATGGATGAAGATGACGAGGTAGAAGGAGACGAAGATTACGGCGAGAAACAATTAGATGTAGCGGGGTTAGCACGAGCATATAAAAAAATGAGTTCCCTCAATAATGATGAGTTTTATAAAGATGTTCTATGTTTAGCTATTAGTTCCTTATGTGGTAAGTATATAGATTTGGAAAACTAGAGGTATTATTCCTATTGTAATAAATAATATTTATTTTTTATTTAGCAAAAATTACTGTGGAATTACATTTTTTCAAGTCAAAATCATTTCCAATCAGTGACAAATATTTAGAGGATGTGTTACATTCGCTTAAAATCATCTATGAAATGCCATGGTTAGATGACTTAGCATTTGTAGGGCGTATAATCCCTAGGCTTGTAGCAGCTACATGTGTGCTCCCAGTGGCTGAACAAGCAAAACTTGCAAGATTCTGGAGTGAAATGTCTTCCGAAAACACGCTGCGACGTATATTACACTGCCTCCAAGAAGCTATAACGTTCCAACTAATATCTACTGAATATGATGCAACTTTCCAAGATGAGACTGCTGTTGTATTTGCTACAAAAACCATGAAGGTAAACAAAACTCGCTGTAAAGCTTTTACTACTTTTTGAATTTGAGAGTAAGTATAACATCATTGTAACTATTTGTAAGTTATACACGAGATAACCAAATCTAGTTTTTTTTCAATGATACTTCTTATCTCTAAATTAACTATTGCACAATGCGTAACACAATTTTGGTAAGTATTCTATATTGATAAATATTACATGTATTAATGTCAATAAACTCATTGACTATAGATTTTATACTATGCGAGTATTATGGCCGGTGAATGTGATAGAAATGTTGATAAAGAAGATACTAAACAGCCTGAACAAATAGAGAAAAAACCCGAAAATGTAAGGGATGAAAATTTACTTGAAGATATCCTTATTAATTCTCATCCAAAGAGTAAAATCAACAAAACCGATCCATTAGCTGACATGTTAAATGTAAGTTTGGATTTCATTTAAATATTTTGATTTGAGCTGATCACATATTTGTTTTAGATAAATATTTTGGCCTGTCGTGCCCCTTTAATTCCTATATCCAAATTTTACAACGAGTTGTTGAGTGATGCGCTAGAAATGGATGATGATTACCAAACTTGGAGAGAAAATGGCAATGAAAAATTTTCATATATGTCCCATTCATTTGTACTTACCCCAGCCACTAAAACTCTAGGGCTGTATTATGATAATCGAATACGTATGTATGAAAATAGACGTTTCTGTCTTATACAAACGTTAATAGGTCAGCCAACTCATCCTTACCTCAAACTTAAAGTAAGAAGGGAACACGTTGTCCAGGACGCTCTAGTTGAAGTAAATATAATTAACATAGTTAATTTATAGTTGGCATACAACATATATTTATATTTAATTTTTCTTATTCAGCTTGAAATGGTAGCCATGCAAAATCCGTCAGATCTCAAAAAACAATTGGCGGTTGAATTTGACGGTGAACAAGGTGTCGATGAGGGTGGAGTCTCTAAAGAATTCTTCCATCTCATTGTCGAGGAATTATTTAACCCAGACTATGGTAGATATTTTTTTACAGTTTTATCATTTAATTTTTATGATTATCAATTATATGTAAGTATACAATTATAATATCATATTATTGTAGGCATGTTTGTGATTATGAACTCTGATAGTGGAAACCCTACTTATTGGTTTAATTCGTTTTCGTTTGAAACTGCTGCCCAATATTCATTGATTGGTCTCGTAGTCGGATTAGCAATTTACAACAATGTCATATTAAATATTAATTTACCAATGGTTGTGTATCGAAAGTTACTAGGAAAACGGTGTACATTCAACGATCTCCAAGATTGGAATCAGGTAGAAACTTGTTATGTTATATGCATTATAATATTATGGTGTCTCAGATAATATTAATTTTTTACACAGGAATTGTACAATGGTTTAAAGAATTTGTTGGATTACGAAGAAGATGACATTGAAGAAATGTTTATGCAGACATTTAGAATATGTTACAAAGATGCGTTTGGTGAAATAGTATATCATGATCTCATAGACAATGGAGATAATATTACTGTAAACCATATAAATAAAAGAGTAAGGACCTATTGGCTTATTATACTATGAACTTATTTAAAATATTTTTGTTATACTTTTTTAGGAATTTGTGGATAAATATGCTGACTTCTTACTAAACGAATCAATTGGAGTACAGTTCAATGCATTCTACCGAGGATTCCAAAATGTTATGGAAGAATCTCCATTACAATACTTATTTTGGCCTGAAGAACTTGAACAGATAGTGTGTGGCAGTAAAGTAAGATCGCATTTCTATTTTTTCTTAGATGTCAGTTCTAAAAATGATTTTTCAGGTATTTGACATGTCAGAGTTAGAAGAAACTACACTTTATGAAGGAGGATATCACAAAGAAACACAAGTTATCAAAAATTTCTGGGATTTTGCCCATGCACTACCTAGAGTCTCTCAGCAGAAGTTACTACAATTCACGACGGGAAGTGATAGAGTTCCTGTTGGTGGCCTTGGAAAATTAAAATTGACCATCACGAGGAATGGTTCAGATTCTGACAGGTATACATTGAATAATACATAGTATCACAAAATTACTCTTTTATACATATTACTACATTCAATCATTGCCTTGTCGTACAGGCTGCCTACCGCACATACCTGTTTCAACGTCTTATTGCTACCTGAATACAGCAGTAAAGAGAAACTCGATGAGCGACTTTCAAAAGCTATCAATTATGCTGAAGGGTTTGGCATGATATAAAACCAATAAGTAAAAAACACCCACCTATAAATTGTGCTACATTTGTTTGAGTACAATTAAAGTTTTTAGAAATTTTTATTAATAAGTTTGTTTTCAAATCTTGTATATTGTGTATAATAATAAGTTCGATTTATTTTATTAAATTTATGTTGAATTATAACTGCATATTGTAGTCATATTTAAAAAAAACCTGTTATATTTCAGTAAAGTATTAAAAAAAGAATCAAATTGATAACAATTTTTAAACTTGTGTGAAAAAATGTAAATACATTTCAAAAATAACTAAAAAAAATAAGTAACTACATTTTAACATGCACTGTAGGAAAATTCCAATAATAAACAAACATGTTCATAAAATTTAAAAACTTTTATTAACTTTTAACAAGTATGAGTGATTGTGTTTTATATTGTGAACAATACATACATACATACATACATAAATTATAAATATACTTCTCTTGGTGTTCATCATTGATCATAGAAGTGATAAAAAAACATTTAAATTTTTAGTTTTAAGGTAAATAAATAGTTTACAAAAATATCACAACCCCAAAAATACCTCATTTAAAATAAGTAGTATATTAAACAAAAGTAATTTACAACTCGTCATGCTGTACTTTGAATGATTCCAAAATGTTTAAACGAACACTCAAGTCTGCTTTTTTCTCTTGAGTCATTGAACCCTTAAGCACATTGTTGATGCGAATAGTTTCTGTGTGGAAAAACTCGTCACCCTTCTCTAATGCTTTTCTCATACTCTTCACATACACCTCGGCCGACTTTTGCTTTTGCTTGCCCTCGCTGCCATCCCACAATTTCTCGGCTCTCAACAATATATCTTTGCGTTTGTCCACCGATTTTTCCTTGGCAAATTCTGATGCTAAACCATCAAACTTTTCTAATGTACCTGGAAGTCCAATGTACAAGATTTCTTTGCTGTGCTTAACTACAAACTTTTGTAATTTTTCCTGATTGAAATCCTCATCGTTATACACATACGGCTCTGACTGACCATTCACAAACAACTTAACGATCGGGTAATCCTTTTTTGATACACCATACCTTGATGACAAAAAAATAAATAAGTACACAGTAATTTTTTATCAAAAGATAAATGTCAAACCTGATGGCCAAATCTTCATTGTCTTTATCTCCGTAATCTTTCACAGGTACTTCGGCCACGAGCAAATCTTCTACCGATTGATAGGCAGAACCTAATTTTACGAATTCTTCATGTTTTTCACCATATGGATACGAGACATCGAATTTGACAATTGACACTTTAAATTTTGAAAGAACCTAATGACAGAGAAACTGTATCTAAACACTAGTTTATAATATTAATGGTCGATGCTGTTCAAAAATCAGCCAAAGCTAGGACCAAAATATAACATTCATACTATGTTTACCTTGTCGAAAGTCAACGAGTCTAAAGAAACTATTCCTTTAGATTGTGTAGCACGACACGCGCAAAAACCCAACACGAATACCGACAGTGTCTGTATGAAAAACATTTTATCAAAGCAGAATTTCACAAATGCCGACTTAAAAGAGTAAATAGGTACGTTTAAATGTGTGATTTATGACAAAATTACTACAGAACATATTATTATTGATAAATTATACTGTTAGTATTGACATATTGTTAAAATATTTGAACTCGAACGTAGTCAACGTACATTTGTCCACGTAAATAAAATTTAACAAATAACTATATTATTATTTGTTATCGTTATCGCTGTTGTTGTTACCACTTATATTATGTTCCGATCGACCGCGGTACTTGTTTGATACGGACAGCTCGATATCACTATCACAGAATAATGAATTTATTCTCTAATAATCTGATAACGTTTGAATTGTGAAGAACCGAGAATTCCTCTCGAATCTTTGTGCGGAATGCGAATTCGAACGAAGAACAGAACGTAGGTAAAATCAATTAAGAAAATTTATTTTGTAAAACTACCTGTCGTGTGACGTATGTCGGAGCAGTGTATCAAAATGTAAAACGTCTTGCCTGTTTGATGATAACTATGAAAATCCGGTGACAATGATTCTATTTTGTTCCTTTTAGACTTCGGCGCAATGTCGGACGATTCGTCGTCTGAAGATGAGATCACAAAGCGGATACTCAAAGACTCAATCGACACTGATCTACTAACCAACGACCTATACAGCAATAGCCCCACCGAGAAGCCGTCAGACAAAATTAAAAGTGAGTATTACTTTTGATTTTTAAACTACCTAATGGTTAACTACAAACTCATTATATGGAGCATAGCCCACAATCATGATTTCATGCTAGTAAATTAAAATATTAAAATAAAATACGCTAATAAAAAACAATAATTAATTGTTCACATTGAATCATTATTTTACTAAAAATGAAAAAATGTTGGTGCATTCTTTATTGTTTGTACAAATAGGTAGCAATTGTGTTGTAAAATGAAATGAACTTAATATTTTATTATAACTCTTAATTTTGTTGAAGGAACTTAGACTTGTTAGTTGTTTTCATTCCAATAGTACAACTATTGATCTAGTAAACCATTAAGAATTCTGGAAACATTGAATTTTCTTACATTTTTGATTTTATCATTTAAAAAAAAAAGTAGAAATTATAATCTTGTTATGATTTCTTTTTGAAGAAGTCAGTAGTTGCTGGGCAGACATTTCTATGGAACATCTGTTATGTATTTATTTTTAAATGTTATTGACATCTTAGAGTTGTATGTCAAGTTATCAATAAAATAATTGTTTTTTTTTTTCAAAATTTAATGATTTCAATTAAAAAAAGATATTTATATAATTAGGTATTAATACCACTTAAAACTCAATATTAGTTAACATGTTTAGAATTAAAATATTCAAAAATAAAAATATTACACAATTTGTATTTGACCTTGTGAAACTATGAAAAATTGTGCACCTTACTCAGATTAATTTAAATTATTGAAATTGAATATACAAATGTTCCTGCCAGGAACTTCCTGGCTATGCTGATAAGTATCTAAGTATCTTAAATAATAAATAAACTACTTATAAAAAAACTTTTTATTTTAGGTATCAATGCTGCACGAGTTAAGCCATCTCTTAGGTATATTATCGAAGACGATGGACATAATCATAATTTTATCAAGGTGACTCCAGAATTTCAAGAATTTGTTGCTAAAAGCTTATTCAAACATTTAGAAAGGTAATATTATTATAATTCAAAACACAATTAATAAGCTCTTATGACTAAGTATAGTCTCTAAAATGTAGGAAATATGGGTTTTCAATCATTATGTGGCCTACCAAGCAAAAATTTAGTTAAGTATGTGACCTACCTGTATTACCATTTACCTGGTTGAATTATGACCTACCAAGACAAAATCTATACGTATTGACAATAGTTAATAGTTATGTACTTATATTTATTTGTGGTTGCTTGTTTATATAATTTTATAAATATCAGACTATATAAAAAAATACTGAATAGAGTAAAATATAATTCAACAATGTTAGTAACTCTTAAGTAAACAAATTATAAATATTAGAATTTAAGACTTTTTTCTAACTAGAACAACTAGAAGAACCACAGACTATATGAAATAGTCTGTGGAAGAACTAGATTCTAGTTTAGTATAACTAGAATCCCAATAGCCAATGCTGCCGCTGGTTAAAAAAAATTATATTTTCATTCTTCATTCTTCGATAATAATATTTTATTATTGATTGACAATAATCATCAGTTTGTGTCAAGTCATTGGTTCATCGTTTGCATAAGCACAACTAGTGGAGCACAACTAGCCCCCCACCAAAAAAAGAAAAATTCTAGAGTATACCTATGCATTGAAAGAGATAGATAATAAAAATAACAGAATAAAAGTCCCCTGAAAAAAATCCCGGACCTTAGGTAAAATAACAACCAGACTACAATGTTACTGACAACCACATGGAATTTTTAAAACGTATTTAGGATAATTATACCATTATTAATATTTTATTATAAATATATTATTTTTTTTTTTTTTTATATTGGTCCTTAAGCCATCTATGGCCATTAGCTGTTAGTAGGGTTGTATTGTGGTGGTGACAGGGTTTTGAAATGGTGGGTTTTTGCACTTGAGTGTTTGGCAGAAGTTTTGATTGGGCACCCGTAGGTCTCTGCCTTTCCTGGGTGGGATATGGCGGCACTTGTTCTCCGGACACCTTGACTTGCCCGAAGAAAAATGCCGCTCGTGACCAAGGAATCGAACTGGCGCCGGCTGAATCGCACCCAACGCCTTAGACCGCTCGGCCACTCCGTCCCCAAATATATTATTATACTTGTATAATATAGGTATACTTTTCATTAGAAAAATTAATATATAATAAATAATATTCAAAAGTTACCAATAATATTGTATTTTTTCATATCACAAGGTGAAACAACATATGTTAATAGTTCTTTTAAAAGATCACTGATTAGGTATATGCATTGATTATTTGTTTAATAATTGTTTATTTTATTGGATGTATCAATCATTCGAAATATTTTTATTTTATAATCTTTTAAAAATCTTCTAATTATTTACATATTGATAAAATATTATTAGAAAATGTAATATTTTATTTCGGGGATATATTATAATATATAATATAAGGGTATTAAGCAAAAAATATTATTGTTAATGTTTGAAAATTATAATATAAATATTAAAAATAAGGTATAATTAAATACTTGGGTAAATAAATTATTGATTTTGTTTGTAAGACTTTTTTAATTTTTTTAAGTGGACATATATTGGGGGTTACTTTTCATGTAATGTCTGGTGAGGGCTACAGCCCCCCCCTACATTTCAGCCCTAATTGCGCCCCTGATCATATGTGAAACAAAATAAACAAAATTTTGGTAATTGAAGAATTATATTTTACTATACAAACCAAAAAAGTTTTAGAATTTTTACAAAAAACATAAACTTGATTTCATGCCATCATTATCTTAGTGATACACTGATACAAAGATCAACTTTAGAAGAAAAAATTATACGGTCAAAACTTCTTGGTACTTAGTAGTTCACCATTTCAAACATGATTAGATAACGCCTTCTGGTAAGTCACATATTGAACAAAACTTATGTTATTCAATAGTGTATTAACCTAAAAAAAAAACATCAAAATTAACATGTTGAATTTAATGCCAATAATGCTAAGTTTCCTCCCATGTGTGTTATACTCCTGTTTAATATAATATAATATAATAAGTAATGTGTTTTAATCTTTTTTAGCCAAATAATTGAAAAAAAAAAAAAACATAAAAAACTCAAAATAGACAATACTGATGTATCAAAAGGAATTCATTTATTCAATGGATCACCTAAATTACTCTTTTCTCCATTAGACGAATCCACAACTGGAATAAAGAGAAAACGTCATCTTAAAAATACCAGTGATGAAGTCATATTACAACGTGCTTCTGAAACAGCCGTGTCATCTGAATGGATATTAAACAGAGATGCTGTTCAAGGTTGGGAAAAAGTTACCAAAGGAAAAATTATGAAAGTTAAAAGTAACCGTGAAGGTACATTTGATATAATCAATGATGAAGTATAGAGGTGCATATCCTAGAAAAATATATGATAGAAATATGAAGACTTTTTTTTTACAAGACACTGGTGTATTATTGTTAAATATTGTACCACCTACTAATATAGTGTCACAAACTTCTTCTAAGAAGATCCCTTATATTATGATTAAATATTTTCTATTATGTTATAGTGGTATAAGATGTAACTATACAACAGTTATGTTAAATGTATGGCTCATTACATGTGTTAGTCAAATTTGAAAAATTTAATATTTCTATTAAAATTTACTTAAAATTTAAAAACCAAGTTGTCATCTAGATAATCTGTATTTTATTTATTACATAATGTTTTAAAACTTTTTTTAGGAATCGCCAATTTATTTTTCAATTATTTTGTACCTTATAAACTATAAAAACTATATTAGTTTTATTATTTTTAAACAGTACTATACAACTGTAAAAATGTTATATTTATTTAACAAATTTGAATTCTGAGTTATTATTTTCATATTATACGTTTAGCTATAATAGAATAATTTGATAAACTATGTAATTCACCTAATACACTGTCTTAGTATTTAATTCTTAAAACATAATATTATGTTTGACAACCAACATTTATTTTTTCATATATTTAGCCAAAACTATGTTTCAATGGTATTCCTACTAAATTTGAATAACTCAATAAATAAAATCAATGTGGCTTGAAGCAAATATGTGTTATACTGTTATGTGATATCCATGTTCACATGACTGGTAAACTGGTAAAAATTTTAAATTTGTAAGCAGTAGTTTAGAACTTCTAGATATGTTCTTATATAAGTATTAATAACATACGCATGTCACATGTTTTATTATCATTTATTGTTTATACACACCAGATTAAGGAATACACTGGTCATATGTGATAATTCTTCACACTTGTCAATTTACATTTTTGTGAACCAATTAAATGTTTGATATATATCATTTTAATTGTCTTTCTACCTTATAAGCCGATTATTAGGATAAGTTATCTTGAACTTATTACTATATAATGATATATTGTTCTGTGAATTAATTTACTATCTACGCCATATGTTGTCAAATCACATTCACAAGATTATTATTTATTTATTGGATTATGACTTTTAGATATAGGTAATTCAAATAATATAAAAACTCTGATGGATTATTCGGTAGTGAAATAAACAGTCATTATTTTTCATTAGATTGAAAATAGTAATTGTGACTGTAGTCAGCTGTGTTGCTATTTGTTTCAGTATAATATGTTAATGATATTTAGATATAATAATATATTTCATAGGTATTGGGTACACACTACATTTAGTTATTACCTGAGCTCGGATTTAAAACCAACATTTTCAATATTGTGCATTTAACAGTATTTTGATTTTGATCCTATTATGTATGGTATCTATGATAATGATTTATTTAAACATTATTCTATTTTTAAGTATACCGTTATTATACTTTTTATTTATATTTATTGTCACACCAGTTATTTGTTTAACATAATATTATATTTGGACTATAAAAAACAAAATTTTAGCTGACCCAAAAACATGTTTTTGTTAAAAATGAAATGTAGCACGCTGCTTGATATATTTCTTCTGCAAGGAAAATCTATAAATCATACATATGTTTTTTGGGGAAAGGGACACTGAACTTTATTTGTAAACTATTTTCCAAAAAATATCAATAATTACAAACTGGCTTTTTTTCATATTATATTTATAATAAATAAACCTACTCATTTTAGATAATAGACTTGGATGAAATTCCTAGTTGTGCAAAGGTATCAATATTATCACTAGGTACGGCTCTAAGTGGGAGAAGGGATTTAGGCTCCTCTAAAAATGATCCAGTATTCCAGTCCACCTAATGCTAAATGTAACAGAACGTCACAATATGTTATTTTTATAATAGTTAAAGTATACATTGTATCGATTATTTTTAAATAATGATAATTGTTTTTTACTATTTTAACAAAATATACTTTGTGAATTTTTTGTGGTATTGTCTGCGTCTGGTCCGATTGCTGCGTCTGTAATTATTATTTTCTGTTAGTATATTGCAATAGATGTTCGTCTCAATACTTTAAGGACTAGGTACCTAATTTTATTATATTGTAAGTCACCGGAACAAACTTAACCGGAAACGTAAAATGTACCTAATATATCTGGTTATTGGTTTATAAAATATAGATAATATTAAAATATGAAGAATAAATATTTCATATTTTCATGTAATTATTGAACTATTCCAAGTTCTAACAGCATATAATAGATAAACGATGACGGGTAGGAAAAAATAATTTTCAAAATAGATCTCTCAATGGGCTCCGACTAAATACAATTTCGTATCAGAAATCACCCTGGTCCCTTAGAATTGAAGATTGAATCATATTTTTACTATAAAACTTGTGCCCTTACAAAAAAAAAACACTAGTCATTGAAAAAGTCAATAGATCTATTGTTTTACTCAGAATCTAAAAGACTTAACCTGGAAGTGTAAAATTAGCACTGCAGGTCTGCAGTCAGTGCCGTAAAAACTGGGTGTGCAAAGTGTGCGCCTCGGGCCTCAAAAAATCTAAAGACTAACATTAAACTAATATAAAATTATTAAAATATATAAATTATTTATTATTGATTTGGAAACGAAACCAATTTTATTTATATTCGTCGTGATCACTGTTTTTAGATTTTGAGAGGAACGAACAAATGTATTGATTTCACAAGATGTGTATAATTTTTTTCATTTCTGTCGGTCATCAACATTGGGTAGTAAAAATATTCCGAATTTCGAGATCAGCATTTTTTCTGTTAGAAAAGTGAATCTAGTTGGTACTTTTTGGAGATCGAAACCGACATTTTTAGTTTTAGATATTAAAAAGCTGCAATAAAAAAAAAATAATTGTCATTTTTACCTAAAACCAACAATTTCATTTTTTGGTATAACTCGAAAACTAATAACCGTAGACCATTAAAGTTTTCACCAAATATTTTTATTAATATTTTCAATAAATTACATTTTGGAAAATTTTTACTTTTTTGAGTTAGTTATAGCCTTGAGAAATTGTTTTAAAATTATAAATTATTTTAAATTAAAATTTTTTTTTGTTTAAGCCCGAATTTTTGTCTGCTGACTTTAAAAATTGCAAAAAAAGTTTTTGAGGTGTGTATTGAAAAATATAATAAGGGGCCTCAATATTTTGGTTTTGCACACAGGCCTCAAGTAGCCTAGTTACGGGCACTGTCTGCAGTGTATAATACGAATCGAAACACAAATCCTTGTTCAAATATTATAGTTTAATATATTATAAGTACGCGCATAATGCATAATATATCATTGATAATGGTCTTGGAAAAATCATAGATATTATAAGAATGGATAGGACACGCCTATACTGGCTTCGTAAGCAGCTTACTTCAGCTGCTGAAGTTGCGGTGTTTTTTGGGGAAGAGAGAAAGTTCAATATCTACGAGAGAGATAGACTATAAGAGTGCTTTTTGAGGTTAGGTTACAAAATCGTAACATTATGAATGATTATTAAATTATAATTAAAATAATTAAACTGTTATTTCATATTCATAATTTTATTATTTGTTTTTGTTTTTTTAAATCGTATTAATATGTATCAATAATTAAGGAACTCTTATAACCTCAAAAATGTTGTCACTTTATTCTCAGTTGATAAGCCCGATGTCCTAACCATGAACTACTACACAGGACTGGACACTAGTACTACAGAGAAAATCACGGACACAAAGTTGTACAGGGTTCGTACACATGCGATGTAACTGCACTCTGCCTGTTAGTAGTACGAACTACGTTTTTTATAGGATAACACTAAAGAATAGTGATATTAGTGATAATAACTGATAATAAATTTACTTTTTAATTTTTGAAAAACAATTATTAATAACACAGTTCAAGATAATAATGATACTATTTATAGAATATTATCAGAAAATAATTACTGCTTAAAGAGTGAACAGTTTAAGCATGAACTACTAAGGCGGTATTTTATATAACAAAATATTTCTTATCTCACAGATGGCGCTGTGTCGCATGTGTACCGAATATGTACAACTTTGTGGACGACCCCCTACTCTCCTCCTGCCAATAGTGTCCAGTCCTGTGTAGTAGTTCATGGTCCTAACCCTGTCTCATAATATCTATGGGAAAAATAAACGGGCCCGAAATCCTAACGGTTGTTGATTAGAACAAATGACTTCGCAAATCGCAACGACCATATACTCGCGTCGTCGTGTACCCATTGTCTGGGAAATGTTTGAATTTTTCGAGTTAACTGGTTTTGAATTGAACTTCGAGTTAATTTTCAATTAAACCTGACCTGACCTAACAACACCAAAAAGCAAAATGGCCACTAGTGACTTTGGTCAGGAAATCGCCGTGATAAATGTAGTTGGATGCGTCGATACATGGGTAATACCAATGTCCAATGGAAAATGAAAAACCGCTAACGCTAGAAGTTAAAGATTAACAACAAAAACTTGATGACGACGAGGACGAAGACGTCTGTACTAGGCGACATTATATGGTAGTTTGGTGAACATGATACCGTCGAATGCACGATCGAGGTACGCAGCAGCAGTAGTCCCGGGGCCCTCCGAGACGCAGGTTAGGTCAGGCCGAAGACCAAGTGCAGGTACAACATGAAAAGGCAGACACCATTCCATCTGTGCGAGTCGAAGAAAGGGATACGGCTATGCTGGACGGAAAGAACGCACAGGACACAACCATCACTGCAGTACCGAGCAAAAATCCACGTGGTAGGACAAGGCGGTTATTCGCCACCACGTGGAAGGCGCCTTCTGCTCTGTGGTTGTTGCCGAAGGACGTGAAGCCAGCAGCGTAGTAAACCCCCTCCCCCTGCAGATGAAGACACCAAGACAAGACGGCGGCGACGGGGGAGTGGTACGTGAAAGAGCACTTTAAGGTTCCCGGCAGTCACCCTATACGTTTTCCGGCCAGCCGCAGAAAGACGAGCTCGCGGTTG